ACCCCGAGTCCAGCAGAAGAGTTGCGACTCTCCACGGTCTCACAAGGCACCCCTCTTTGCTTCACTGCCCCTACAGGGTGGCTTTGACTCCTTTCGGAACCCACCAACAGGGAGAACTCAGCACAGGAGCATGGAGACCCACCCCTCATGTCCAATCTCCCTTTGATGTCAGCCGGAAGTCCCAAAGTTTCCAAATTTTGATCACATGATCATGAGGCGGCTGTAAAGTTTGTAACTGTGAAAAATGGTCATAAGTCACTTTTTTCAGTGCTGTTGTAACTTTGAAAGGTCACTAATTGAACTGTTGTAAATCGAGGATTACCTGTACCTACAGACTACACTAGAATCTTTGCCCAACTGACTTAAACCAGATTACTTTTTTAATGGGAAATAATTGTGAGCTTCTAGCTGCATCTTGTTTTACAAGAATGCCTCTGGGCCCACGTATTTCCCACAGCGATTCTTGGAAAATAAAAATGCACAAGGTTGCACTTTCTTCGGAAGTATGCTCACTTGCCCAGGAAAAAAAGCATGACAAAATGGGATAGCAAAAAAAGCACTAGAGGGTTTCTGGTAAACGGGTGTCTTCTGTTAACCTGCTTGTTGACAGTAAATTCGGGTTCCATGTGGTGACTGTTCAGTTGAGCTCATTTTCTCATGGGATGGAAAACAGAGATGACCCATAAATTAAATTTAATAAAGACTAAGTTCTCATCATCTAATGAATAGTATGCCTTTATTCTCATTTTCAATCACACCATCCATTATTTATACTTTTTCATAGCCTTATCTCTTTTAATGTGTATGCTTGCAACTGGCCAAGAATAAATGACTTCTAATCCAAATCTGGCTTCATCAAGATTCTTCAGTATAAACGTATAAAGAACAAGTTTTTCTGAAATTGACCCAATATGGCAGGGAGTCTATTTACGGTGCTCATTTTGTGTGTCGAATTATTCCGTGTAGCAGAGGTGGGTTTCAGCAGGTTCTGACCAGTTCTGGAGAACTGGTAGCAGAAATTTTGAGTAGTTCAGAGAACCAGTAGTAAAAATTCTGACCGGCCTCGCCCTCATCTATTCTCTGCCTCCGAAGTCCCAGCTGATTGGGAGGAAAGGGGGATTTTGCAGTAACCTTCCCCTGGATTGGGGAGGGAATGGAGATTTTATAGTATCCTTCCCCTGCTACGCCCACCAAGCCATGCCACGCCCACCAAGCCACACCCACAGAACCGGTAGTAAAAAATTTTGAAACCCACCATTGCTGTGTAGGAACAATACTTGGAAAGCTATGGGTAGGAGACTTGTGGAAATACAATAAATACAGTACAGGTAGTTCTCGACTTACAACAGTTCATTTAGTGACTGTCCAAAGTTACAATGGCACTGAAAAATGTGATTTATGACCATTTTTCTCACTTATGACCACTGCAGCATCCCCATGACCCCATGGGTTTTGACAACTGGTTTATATTTATGACGGTTGTACTTATACTTCTGTATTTTATTACATTCTTATTTATCTAAATGTTCTAACATATCAGTATTTTAATACTTTACTAGACTATCATTCAGTAATATATAATTGCACTTACTTAACAATTAAACACTTATTGCAATTCCCTTTGTCTTACCTATTTGAAAGAGTCTGCTACATAACTCTTACCAGCTTTTCTTCTTCTTTATCCTTTATCCTTATAGTGGGTAAATTGCAGAATTACATGTATCCCCCTTGCAATATTGTTGCTAAAGTGTACCTACATTTGGTCATTGAGCATAATAAAGGATTTTGATTTAACTTTAATGAGAGTGAACTATATTTTTGTTTAAAGATGCTTTTTTAGAATAAAGAAATTGATAATATATTCTGGAATTTGATGCATACGGAATAAGGCAAAGTGCAAGATATCTGCTTGCACTTTGGGGAAGTGGAAACGTACTCTTGTTGTTTCGCCCAAAATTTAGAATTCAGAATTATAATGTTTCCATTTACAGAAGTTTTATCTACTAACATGACTTGTGGATGTTAAGCCAGCAGGCAATATAAAATTCTCATTTTTAGGAGTCTTTTTTCTAAGTTGCACAGAGCAGCAGATTTCTTTAAAAAAATTATTCTTCTGGTATGAAAAAAGGCTGGATAGTAATCTTTCCCTGCAGGCTCATAGGAGAAAGAGAAATAAAAAATCCAAAGATCAAGCTTTCTTCAGGAAGAAAGAACAACTTGGTATTTTCTCACACGAAACACTGATGGGTATCTCATTTATTTCACTGTCACTTAATACCACTTAAAAGCTTCACTGTGTTCTTTAGAATCACAGTATATTGTGCAATGAAATTGGGAGCAGAACTCAAAGCACATTCTTAATTTGTTAGTTATATAAATTCTTAGTGATAAAACAGCGACATCTAGTGCCTTACATCTGTATTTTTTAAAAAAATTCTTTGCAAATAAAATATAAAAGTATCCTGGAAATAGTTCAAGAATATCATTATGGATGCTTTTGCTAATAATTGTATTGAAGTTTTTAATAAACATAGTGTTGGAAGAAATGTCCATCTGGATTCAGTTCTAAGTGGGGAGAAAGACACTGAAAACATGGAGGCTGTTTTGAAAGATGGTTTAATGGTGGACAGGGCCACATGGGTTTTTTGGGCCCCACCTTGGAGCTTCCTGTTCCTGTGTAAGGGCAGGTATCCTGATTGTTTGTCAGACTCCCATGCAGGGGTAACTTTGTAGGTTGTCTTGAGTCCCAGGCTTGGTTGAATCTTGCTGGGTGATGAGGTAATGAAGCTAATCCTATCATGCCTTGAGGGTGAAGGTCTTAATTCCATCACCCTGGAGCTGAAGTGGGGGGCAGGGAGCTGCAGGGAGCTGCTTTGTCTTTAAAAACATGTTTCTCCTTTTCTCATCCAGGGGAAATATAATATTCTGCCTTTTTAATATTTCCTAGAATATTTCATTCTTCTAGGAGAGGGGTGGGTGCTAACTTTCTACAATAGTAAAAACTAAACCAGGAGAAAAAAGAAAAAGTTCAGAAGATCAAAAGTAGAAAAGAAAAAGGCAACAAGGACAATAATAAAGAAGAGGTTTCCAACATTCATCACACCAAACCTAAACTAATATTCTAACTTTTCACTCTATTTTAGTTACAAATAAAAAAAACCTCTTCTTCCCGTAGTCTTTTACCTAGACACAATCCAGAAATCATCTTTTTTATCCTAGTTCTGCAAAAAGTCAAATATGAAACAAACAGTTTATTCATGGTCAAATAGTCCAACATTATATTCCTTCTTGCACAATCCTGACCATTACATCATTCTTTTCACAGTTCACTTTGTAAATCTCAAAGAGGAATTGTCCAGAATTTCTTGTAGCCATTCCATCCAGAACCATTTTTTTATTGGTCTTTTGTATTCACATTGTGGTAATCTCAGTTTTGAGTTAGTTATTAATATTTCAGTTCCTATTTCAAAAATCTCTTTTAAGATAGAAAAAGTAATAGGTGGCTTAGCCTGGTCGTTTAATTTCCTGTGGTTTTTATTTGCAGCCTTCATCAATCCACATTTGCTAATATAGATTTAATTCTGTTTCACTAATTTCCCATGAGAGTACTGTTTATATATTTGCTTTTCAAATTTTACAGCAAAAATAACCAATATTCCACATTTATCTGATCTACTAATTACTTTACAACTTGTTTAAAACAATATCCCTTTTTTTTCTTTTGCTTTTCACCAACTGTATATTATTTTAAATTCTTTAGGCTGTTTAAAATTTCTTAAATCCAAAGGTTAAAAACTCAACAGGTGTCAAATTAAGTTCAAAATTAAGTTTTGAAGGTCTCTAATATCTATAGTTAAATTTAACACTTTTGAATGTGACTAGAAAGTGGGTACATGGATGCTTTTGAAGTCACTTGTCTTTATTGTTTTGATTTGCTTTAATAGTTTAATGTATTGTAATATTACAAGTTTTTGTTGTAAGATTTCTAGATTGAACTAGGAGACAATATTATATTTTAAAAAGCAAGTTGCACTTAGAGAGGAACTAGAAAGTATATTTTCACCCTTCCTTTGTTTGGAACTTCTAGAAGCAGTTGACTCCAGCATGAGTACTCCGTCCCCATGAGTATAACTTTTTAGGGGAAGGTAGACATGGTCTCAGCCTCCATCGAGCCTAGCCCTACTTTTGTCTTTTCTTTTTTCCACTTTGAACACATCAAAATTGTGATTCCTGACTTGAGCTAGCACAAATGATTACGGCTTCATTTCATTGCAGGAAATACCTCCACTCCATTTGGGTATTGTGAGCTGTGGCACGAATGCCCCATTCCCTCCAGTCTCCTTGTCACTTCTTGTTTTACTAATTGTTTTTTCAGTACCTGATACCTAACTGGCAGGTCAGCCAATGTAGCTATAAAAAGAAATAACTATCATCAGCATCACTGATGTTGCACTCCTACGCTATTAGCCTCTTGCGTTCTGTCCTCGCGTTGCAATTCATCACTGAATGTCTATGGAGATTCTCAGGCATCCAGGTCATGGTTGTCCCAAAGGTGCTTTTTCAAGAGGCAGCTGGGCTTTCTGGATTTTCTTTGAAGATGTTTCTTGGATGAGAAGCGAAATGTCTTCCAAGAAAGAAAAACCAAGGAAGTCCAGTTGCCAACTCCCCAAAAATAAGGAGGCATGGATCACACCAGTAATCTCCCTGTAGCTCTATGAAGAAAGATGCGACATAAAAATATTAAAATAATTAAAAAGCCCTTTGGGCTTCCTTAGATATGAGCGCCCCATCCCTCGACTCTTCCGTTCTCTCCCCGCGTTGCAATTCAAAAGAGGACGCGGCAAGGCTGTCAGGTGATAGCGCGCATGCGCAGCAACACGCCACCAGAGTCTTCTTTCCTACAGAGGGCGGCCACCGAGAGAGAAGTGGGTCACGTGAGCTCCAGTGGCCAATCGTGATTCCCCCCCCCGGCGGTGGCGGAAGCGGGTTTTTCCCCGTTTCCGGTTTTGCGCCGGCGGCAAGATGGCGGTTTTCAGAAGTTGGCGATGGCTGCCAGGGGCTCGATGGGGGCAGTTCATTCACAGCGAGGCCTCCGCGGCGCCTTCTGACGAGCCCGCCGCTTCTCTTTATCCGCCCGTGGTGGCTTCCCTTACCGCCAAGAGTAAAATAGCCAAACTCCGGCGCCGGGAGGAATACTATAAAAGTATTCACAACGCGCCTACGGTGGAGGAGAAATTGGCGATCTACGGGAAACGGCTGCGCCGCAAGTACGTGGTCTACCCGCAGACGTGGGCCTTAAATGCAGACCGCTGGTACCAACATTTCACGAAGACCGTCTTTGTGCCAGGGCTGCCCGCTTCGGTGTCAGTCAGCCAAGAAGACCAGAAAGACGGTTTGGATTTGGCTGAGCTCCGCTCCCTTGTATGCGAAGTGCTCCTTCAGGAGTATTATTACCAGCGCAAGAAGCGCCCCAAACTCTTCCGCAGCAGCGACCAGGGACCAGCGCCTTTCATCACCCAACTGGTGCCAAAGCTTGCAGCCCACCTGGCTTGTCTCAACCCAGCGCTGGGTTCCTCTTCCGTCGTAGGTGTGTGTGTCTCTTTCTCTCTCTTCGTCCTTGTTTAAAGAACAGTGAAAAATGTCTCTATAAGAACCGTGGGCATCTTTCATTCTGAGCGAATGGGCTGAAGCGTTTACTGTTCATGGTAGTGATTGATGACAATCCACCACAGGATATAAAATATAGACTATATAAGACCACATGTTAGTCTGCCTCAAGACCTGGTGGAAACACAGACTTATTCAAGCATCTTATATTCTTTTGATGCTTGCCATCCATCTTTCCATTGTTGTTCTGATTACCATGATCATTTAGTAACTTTTTTCAAGGAAATCATTCAGAAGAATAGAATAGAATAGAATAGAATAGAATAGAATAGAATAGAATAGAATAGAATAGAATAGAATAGAATAGAATAGAATAGAATATTAGTATAATATTAGTGTATAGTTAGTAATAGTATAGTATAGTAATAGTATAGTATAGTAATAGAATGGTGCCACCTGGGGTAACTGCCCTCTCTGATTCCTTCGCACACATCTGCCACTTTGCACCAGGACTGCTCCAGACAAATGAAATCCTATCTAGCCTATTCCATTAATAACATTCCTTTATAATTCTGAAAATAATAATGATGAGGCCTGTATAATAGCTGCCACACATTTCTTTTAAAAACAAAACAGAAATATTATGTAATGCAAACTTTCCCAAAATCAACCAGCTAATTCTGCTGCACAGTAAGAGTCACTTGAAGTCTTTAGAACAATAAAACACCTGTAAATGGGGGAAAAAAGACCATATGTTAGAAAGTAGACGGAAAGATGTAAGGAAAAGAAAATGCAAATCATATTTCTGCGTCAGTGCTACAATTTACACTGATCAGATCCGCATTGGCAGTTCCTGTTTTGTTCTGTTTTGTTCAAATAGAGGTCTGAATTGTATGCATGCATATGAAATATGGTATTTTAATCTAAAGATCCCAATAGGCCATTTGTCTAATGTGTGGTCCAAAATATTGATCCCTTTATTACACAATTGGCATTCAAATAATATATGCACTACGTCATCTGTCTCTTTATTATCTATGGCAACATCCTGATTAGACACAGTCTTACTATTTCAGACTTTCAGCCAGATGTACATTTCTACTGGTTGCGTGGGGAGACAGTAGTTCCCCGAGGACACCGGCGAGGCAGGATTGACCCGTTCAGATTTCAGATTGATGATAAGCCACGCTGTCAGATTCGTTTAAGAAAACAACTTTCAGAGGTACAAATATTTTTGTTTAAGCAGCAGTTATTAGTTAAATTGTTGATATTGGTGATTGCAGAAGATTTATCTCTTTGCTTTCCTCTGCTCCACTACAGCTGATCAATTTTGCCATTTAACAGAGTTTTGCAAAAAGTATTTGAGTAAAATTAGGAAGCAGTAAAAATACAGTAGAATTTCCATAAACTGCTGATAGCTGAAATCTCCTGAATAAAACTGAAGTGGAGACAGATGTTTAGAATATATAAGAATAGAAATCCTGGCCCTGTAATTACTCATCAATTACTATGTAAGTGTGGAAAGAAGGAAGTAAAGTGAGTGGTCCCATCTTAAGGCTGGTAATAACACTGCCAGTTTTCTTAGGCTGAGTTTGAGCACCACCTTCCCAGCCTTAAATTGGCAGAAAGCCTTTTTACAATAAAACTTGCTGCCATTACTAATCCTTGTCCTTCTGTTACCTCTCATAACATTTTAGTCACATGACTTCTAGTCAAAACCTAACAGATGTTAAATGTTTTAGTCTTTGAATGGTGCCAGAATAAGGGAAAATGCTTTTTTTTTAACACCAGAGTACTTAAGGGCATCTTAAGACTGGTTTATTTATGGGCTGTAGAAGAAATGTAAATCATATTGCAATCAAAAATAGTTTGTCAAGGGATATTTTATGTCCAGGTAGATGCAAATATTTCCTATCTTTTTCTGAACCATTTATTTTTATTGTTTGATTTAAACTTCCATTATGCGTCATTTCCACATCCGCAAAATAAATGACATAAATGATACTATAGTATGTGAACATATTAACACTCAACATTTCTTTAAAGATGCAATCACACTTATAAGTAAAAATACATAGTCAGCATAGTGAAACTTACAGAGGCATGTAGTGAGTAGTTTTCCTTGTAGGGGAGGATTTTGGACCCAAAAGTGCCTTCTTTAAAAAAATTTCCAGAAATACTTATTGTACTCATGATACTCATTGTTGTCATTTATTCCAGGTTTAGTATATAGTGCATAATGCAGCCACATTATATGAAGGCATATTGCTCTTTATGATAACTTCAGAGTTCATCTTTACTCTTAGGTCTCTTTGCTATTTTGAATTTTAGTTTATAGTGGGATCTCAAATTCTAGATCATTTGTTATGACACCTTCTCGTCCTTCCTCCCATACAAAGTGTCTAATAGGAAGACAACAGCTTCCCTGTCTTGGCCAAGCACCATACGCGATCCCTTAGGTTGAGCAGAAAGTGTCGCTTTGTGCTTCGGGGCAGGGAACAGGCTAAGGGCAGCTGCACTTCTAGTCCCACAGAGGTACTGTCACAGCTTGAATAAGGGCCAAACAGATGACCAGTGCAGAAAAAAGTGGGGATGGATATAGGCATTCCTGATTCCTTGCTATCTTTTACATTCCAACCTAAGGTCTAATGGGAAAAAGGGTGGATGAGGCCAGCGTTGTTCAGGTCTTTCCCATTTTGTAGCTTTTAGAGTTCATGAGAATGGCAATTTCAAAAGGTGGGGTGGGGAAGAGATGGGAAGCAGCAGTGATGTTGGTGTCTCTCAGCAAACCTCAGCAGTCTTGATCAGGAGAGGGTAGAATGCCATTGTAATCCAAATGGCAGAAACAAAGTTGAATTAGGTATTTCGTAATTCATTGTGGGTAAAGTTAAGGTCATATATCACAGAAAGGAGAACCTGAGCCATGAGGGGCAGAGAACATTATACATGTTTTTTATGGGCTCACTTTCTTCTGTTGACCTGGTGCACGCATCATGATTTTTTTTTCTTTCTCATTAGTTTTTCTCCAGTGGCTACCCTGCTGATATGCTGGGAACTCCTGGAATTTCAGCCAAGATGATAACATTGGGAATTATAAATTTTTAATTCCAGTATATCTTAAGAGTACTACATGGCTACAAGTATTGTTGTTGTTAGTTGCGAAGTCATGTCTGACCCATCACGACCCCATGGACAACATTCCTCCAGGCCTTCCTGTCCTCTACCATCTTCTGGAGTCCATTTAAGCTCACGCCTACTGCTTCAGTGATTCCATCCAGCCACCTCATTCTCTGCAGTCCCATTCTTCTTTTGCCCTCAATCTTTCCCAGGTTCTTCTCCAGTGAGTCCTTCCTTCTCATTAGGTGGCCAAAGTATTTGAGTTTCATCTTCAGGATCTGGCCTTCTAAAGATCAGTCAGGGTTGATCTCTAGGACTGACGAGTTTGATCGCCTTGCAGTCCAAGGGACTCGCAGGAGTCTTCTCCAGCACCATAGTTCAAAGGCCTTAATTCTTTGCCACTCAGCCGTTCTTATGGTTCAACAAGTATCATAATTCTATGTAATTAGTAAAGGGAATTCTGTCTCTTTCTACCTTTCTGCAGTCCAACAGATATTAATGCTTAATGTTAAAATGGCAAATAAGAGATGACAGAATGCATTATTTAAATGCTTTCTTTATGGTGAAAGAAAAAAAAATTGTAAATCATTTTCTTTTACTAAACTGATTTTCTTTCTTTTAAGTTTGAGCCTCTTGATTACCTGGGCCCTGGAGATATTCCTGTTATCCAGCATTTACCTGATAAACTTCCATTGTTCAAACGACAATATGAGAACAAAATATTTATAGGTAAGACTATTGTGTTATTGTATCTTTCTTTTTTTGTAATCAAATTTTTTATTACTTTATAAAAATATAAAATACAAAGAAAAATGAAAATAATGGCAAAGTAGTTGAGAAAAAGGGGGAAGATTAAACGGGAAAAGGAAAAAACTGCATTGATTTAGAACTTCTTTTGGCACAGTAGAATAAGGCATTGACTTTGCTGTCAGAAGGACGCAAAAGATGATACATGACCCCAGGACATTGCAACCATCACAAATAAATGAGTAAAATGAGTCAGTTGCCAACCATCTGAATTTTGATCACATGACTGTGAGAATGCTGCAATGGTTATATGTGTGAAAACGGTCATAAGTCACTTTTTTTCAGTGCCGTTGTAACTTTGATCACTAAACAAACTGTTTGTTGTAAGTCGAGTTGTACCTCTACAGCATCAACTTTTTATTTTTGCATGATACTATATACTAGCCATTTCTATAAGAACAAATCTATTTAATCAGAAAAACGAACGATCAAAGTTTCCTTTTTTTCCCACACAAGCACAAAGTCCAGAAGCAGTTTCCAAATAGAAACAAAGTTGGTTCTGTACTTTTCTTTAGTTAAATCAGCCAATTTAGCCATCTCTGCTAATGGATGACAGAGCAAAGGTGTAGTTGTATCTTTCTATATATCTTTTTGATTTAACATTTATGAGCTTGTTAATATGGTTTTTGGAAGATAAATTTAAGTACATGTATATGAAATTGAAGTATATACCAAAATGTGGAACTGCTATCAACTGTGTCTATGATTTTCTGACCTTGAATAGAAAATTATCTAAAATAATCTCTTTTGGGTTTAGGTTCTCAAATATCAGATCCATGCTGCTATGGGCACACCCAATTTCATTTGCTTCCTGACAGGGTGAAAAGAGAAAGACTGATAAAATTGAATCTCACTGATCAGATTGATGTTCCATATCGAGCCAATGCAATTGCAAGTCTCTTTGCGTGGACTGGAGCACAAGCAATGTATCAAGGTAATTAAAAAGTTTTTAAAAATTATCAAATGTCAGAGCAGTTGAAGTCTGATATATCCTGGTTTGAGCTTGAGATTTTTCCCACTCCCATCCCAAAATCTCATGTTCTAGTTTTATTGGAAGTTAGCTGATTGTCTTCTGACTATATTGAAAATGCTTCAAGCTTGTTACATTCTTCTTATACCAGAATGTTCAAAGCAGAATTGGGACACTCCCACTAAGGTGAGAACAATCAGTTTCAAACTCAAAATAGTTGTTTTTTAATGGAATCATTTTGTCCATCCTTGTCAGTAATTAAACATAAACATACCTGTACTCTTTTATTGATTTATGCCATCTATTGAAGGCAATTCAAATCCTTACAGTTATCCCAGAAAATGCTAAATTCATTTACAAATTGAACATTTAGAAAATTATGTCACTATACACTTTAATCTGTGCATTTGGACATCTGTAAAAGAATTCCTGAGCATGGTCCTATGTGTTGGAGAAATAAATTATGCTGATCTGTAACGCATAATGGCTTTTTTGTGAAATCAGGAATATATCTTGAATGTGTAATTCTATCAATTCGGAAACTGGTTTCTATTTTTGAGGGAGTTTCTCTTTGAAGCAACAATACTTTGTACTGTGTGATCACCTTGCACTGCAGAATGGCTTATTTTGATCACTGCAAATTCAGAAAACTCTATCATAGGATCTGCCTGCATCTTGTTAAATACATTTTTTATTGGCACCTGCAGGTGGCAGCAGCTGTGTGATCCAAAGGGAAGGTGCAGCTACTTTGAGAAATTGTACATGTATTCCTCAGTCATGTCCCTGTTAGCTTAAAACACTTTTAGCCATCCAATCCAATATGTCAGAGATCCTAATTTGCAATGCTTTTGAAAATTCATTTTACGTTGGTAGAGAAATATTTATGTTAAATGACTTTTCTTCTTTCTCAGGATTCTGGAGTGAGGACGATGTGACTCGACCCTTTGTATCCCAGGCTGTGATTTTTGAAGGAAGATACTTCGCTTTTTTTTGTTACCAGCTAAACACCTTGGCTTTAACTGTTGAGGCTGACCAAAATAATTCAAGAAGGAACATTTGTTGGGGCACTGAAAGTAAGCCCTTGTACGAATCAATAGAAAATAATGATGTGAAAGGTTTTAACGATGAAGTCCTAACACAGCTTGTTAAATTTCTGTTAAACAAACCAAAGGAATTATGATAATCTGATTATTCTGAAAATACTGAAATAAAAGTGTGTGTTTTAACATGTTAAAAGTGGAACTGTTGAGTTATAGTCTTATATAAAATTACTGGGATATACAAGAGTTGTACAGGAGTGTTGCTGATGCTGTATAAATGAAATTTTAAGGTAAATATCTTCTTTGTGTGGTAAATTATTTTAGATGATTTTCTTTTCTACAGGAAGACACAAATTCACAATTGTTAAACATCCAATAAAGCTTAATATTCCAATAATGTATTATTATTATGTTCATTGCACAGTCAGCCGGATATTTATACTGGATTAGGTAGTTCCAAGCAGGGTGGGTTTTTTTTTTTGTAAAATTAGGGTGCTCAGTCCAGATACATTCTATATTTCCAGATATTGAAGAAGTCCTTTAGGTACACCAAGAGCTCCAATCATTGTAGGTCATAACAATGGATTTCTTTTTTCATAAGCATTCAATTTTGATTTTAGCAACCTCAATGTATCAGATGTTCTTCTTTTCAATAAGTTATGTCAGGCATGTTATAAACAAGATGCATAGCATCCCATAAGATCTGAATCTGCTTATTTTCTAAAACCTCTACTTGATGATCCCAGTATTTTTTAGCACATTCAAATCCGAACCTCTGGCAAAGTTTCCAATGAATAATTCTGGCAACTCCGTCATGATGCTGCTTGTAGTCAGTTTCTGACACTTCACTGCAGCTACTGATCAAATGGTCAGTGGTTTCATCCTTTTCACTACAAAAGCCACATTTAGTGTTTGTTACATGTTAAATTTTTGCCTTCAAGCAAATAGTTGGCAAAGCTTCCTGAGCCACTAAAATAAAGCCTTCTGTTTTTTTAATCCTGTGTTTGTGGGTTTTTTTACTAGCTTTTCCTTCTATATCCTTCAAATATCGACTGTGTATTGGCTTGTTCTTTCAATTAACAAATCAGTTTTCATTAGTTTCTTTTCTATATTCAGCCTTTACCCTTGTTGCTTTCAAGAACTTTATTTGATCGACTTCAGGATTCTTAAGTTTCCTTAATACAGTCATTCAGAGGACTCCTACCCCCTTTAGCTTGACAAATGCAGGCAATCAATATCACTTTTTGGTTTCAAAGCATGCTGCATTACCATTAGTTTTCTTATCTCCCTATCCAAGTTCTCAAGTTCCATCTGATCCCGTCAACCATACCTACTGTCTATTGAATAACAGGGACTGATAAAGTATTACTTGTTTTAATGATACTTCCACCATTTAGCTTTGATTTGAAAATTTTACAAACTCTGTTGATATACTCCCTCCCTTTGGAACAGCCCTGCAGAGATTTGATTGTCCCCCCTCCCCTTTCCCACTATTACACTTTTTCACAAGGCCCTGAAGACCTGGTTTTGCCAATGGACCTGGGAAACCCAGAGTCAGATTGGAGCCCACCAAGTGGCTGGTTTGATTGATTGTTGTCACTAGGAGGGGTGGAGGTGGTTATTGTTTTTTATTGTTTGTATATTGGGTTTTTATTTTTGCAAGCCATCCAGAGTCACTGAAAGTGAGTGGGCAGCCATACACATTCTCTTAAATAAATAAATATTTGTCAGAACTATTCCTTTTTTTTTTTTTTACTTAATTCTGAAATAAATTGAAAGCTGCTCAACTCAGCTCAGAATTGAAGAAGCTTCTTGGATGAGACGTGTAACATATTCGAAGAAAAACCAGAAAGTCTAGATCTTGTGACCTAGGCCCAAGTAGTTAGTACCAGACACAATCAATCCTAAACAAACATTTTATGAGAACAGCTGAGAATTATTTCATTCTCAGCTTAGTCCAAATTAATTCCAAAACAATTTCTTCATAAACAGTCCTTCGGTCTTATCACTAACCTTTGTCTTCTTTGGCACCCTGCCAAAGGCTTTTCTTGGCAAAACCCCACAAAATTCAGAAGCAAGAGACACTGACAAGAAACAAAATGTAGCAACATTGCTTTCCTACAAAGTTCCCAAGAGCTGTTGCTGCTCTTTTAAGCCTTCCGGGAGGGGCCAATCATCTCCTGGCCTTACTCCCGAGTCATCCTTTTTGCTTTAGCTGCTCTTGCCTTCTGGCAGCTCTTAGCATGTGTGTATTAGGAATAGGCTCCCCCTGTTCCTCTGCCTCTCTGCTATCCGCCTCTGGAGGCTCCAGAGTCCGCGCATCGTTCCCAGATGGCCCTGGCCCCATCTCTGCCTCCGACACAGAGTCCTCATCCAGGCCTTCCCCTGACTCCAGGACTGGCCCATTGTCCTCCCCAGCCTCCTCACTGTCCAACTCTGCTGCCAGCTCCGCAGGCTGCTGGTGGACCACAACAGATCCTTCTTGAAAAAGCACCTTTGGGACAACCATGACATGGAGACTGAGAATCTCCGTAGACAATGTGAATCTTGTTCATCTGGGTGACAGATCTGGCATGAAACTTGCATTATGTATTCCCATCAAATTGAATGCATTTAGTCTGACTTTTCAGATAAGACCTGTCTGATATGGTAGCACCAGTTCAGCAGAGCTTTTAGCATTACTAGAACATGCAGGTCCCTAGACTACAATCAGGTACTGTTCCTTGGAGTGGGATAAGTATTATTATTATTAAGGTTCACTGCACAGTCAGCCAGAGGCGGGATTTGATGTTTTTATCCAAAGGTATTTATTTGATCTAACCTTCCTTGCCCTTTTCTCCACCATTTCTGCCATTATTATGAGTTCTTTAATTTCTGCTGCTTTTTTAATCCATCTCCAAGTTTTATTTTATTTTTATTTTTATTTTATTTTTTGCTTTAATTTATATGCTGCCCTTCTTTGGAGACTCAGGGCGGCTTACAATGCGTTAAGCAATAGCCTTCATACTTTTGTATATTTATACAAAGTCAGCTTATTGCCCCCACAATCTGGGTCCTCATTTCACCTACCTTTGAAAGGATGGAAGGCTGAGTCAACCTTGAGCCTGGTGAGATTTGAACTTGCAGTAATTGCAAGCAGCAGATGTTAATAACAGTGCTTTAGTCCATTGTACTACAGGTTCTTCCAGTGCTTATTCTTGGTATATCATTTAGGGTTGTCCCATAGCTGGACACAGAACTGCATTGTTTCTTCTTTGGCATGGTTTCATTACAGTCTCTCCATTGATGGATTGGTGGAAACATTTCTGATTTGATTGAAATTAGAGATTCTGCTTACAATGTGCAGTTTGAGCTTTGTATCTGCTAATCTTGACTGTAGATGTTAATTACTGTTTTATTAGTTCCAGTGCTTCCCTCATCTCTCTTGTTTCTAGGTAATATTTCTTGATCAGATATTCTTGGGTCTTCTTGTCCTTAGCTTCTTTTCTTTCATTTTTTTCTATCTTGCTTTTATCTGATCTTGGCATACCAATCTTATTTTCCAATCTGATCCTCCATTTTGGTGGTGCACAGTGGCTCTATTCTTCTTCCTTGATTCTGTATCCAAGGTATTCAGTTGTAACTGCAGTCATGCTGTAGATGATTTGGTTTGCTCTCTTGCAGTGAGCTGGTGCTTATATTTGATACTACACCATTAGCATCTTTTAATACAGTACTTGTGTAGCTGTTTCTTAGTCCATTGATGTACAGACATGGTAAATGTGGGTAGCCCAGGAGGAAATCTTAATTAGAATCATTCAAGTTAATGTGGCAAAACTTTTTCAAAACTGAGAATTTAAAGCAGTAAATGTTGGAAGAAAGGGCTGGCTGACAAACCCACAATCCATGTAGATAGTCTGAAAAGGAATTATTAGAGACGGGGCAACAACATTCCCACTGAATTTTTGAAACTGTGTGTGTGGCAGAAGAGGGAGAATGAATAAGGAAAGTAAGATTGTGTGAAAATATGCCACCAACTCCCAAGTTATGCACTACACAGTATTATCATTACCGTGTTTTCCCCAAAATAAGACCCTGTCTTATATTGTTTTGAACCCTGAAATAAGTGCTTGGCCTTATTGCCATGCGCTCAAAAGCCTGATTGGGCTTATGTATCAGGGGATGTCTTATTTTGGGGGAAAACAGGGTATTGTTTATCGTTAAGAATTAACTCTTGTTGTGAATTGTAGTGTGTGTGTGTGTATGTGTGTGTGTGTGTGTGTGTGTTTCCCCAAGGAGAAAGGAAGTTGCTTTTGTAAGTATTTGAAAAGGAATCTTTAGAAAATCCATATGTTTCAAAATTAAAACTTCTGAAACATTCAGGGTACTGGGATTTCCTGCCTCTGCTTTATTCCAGTCATTGAGCGATGGAACGAGCACCGATACTTTTCTGCCTTCCTGTCATGGAAATGGAAAATACTGGCACAGCAAGAATGCACCTGCAAGCCTCTCATATATCAGGCATTTATAATAAATAAACAATATGAAAATGTTCTCATGTGGTAACCTCATTGTCCCCAGAGGTGGTTTGACTAAGCAATATTTCCTTGTTCTGATTTTTATGGAAAACTTGTTATTTTTAAAAGTGGCATCCAGGTTAAACCTTCTAGTACTTTCTGTTAATTTTAATATTTTAAACTGAAATTCTGGTGTGAGCCGCAAACAGCTCTTCAATTCTTCCTTTCAGCATCCCATCCTTTTTGCTAGGCCTCCATTTGCTATGCCATGTTTTGTCCAGATAGATTGGATTAAAAGATTGGGAATAGAAGCAAGAATAGAATAGAGAATAGAAAACACTATAGGTGTCAAGAAAAAAAAATCCTTGCCAGATATAAATCCCTTCCTCCCCAATTCAGTACTGATGAGACTGCTAAGCCTGTAAATAGGATATGAAGATGTGATTTTGGTTTTAATATCTGATAATTAGAAATAAATTAACATAGAAGGATATTGTTTGTTTAGTATGGCATTACATACTAAAGACTACCTTTTCATTTAAATGGGAGATGAGACTATGTAATAATCATTTGATGAAATTCTGGGTTGCCCACATAACACATAAATTGTGTTATGTGATCATAACATCATACATCATAACATCCTGATTTGCGAGTCCATTAAGCAAATTGCCTGGAAAAGAGAACACACATTTTTAATAAATTTACATACACATTTTTATTGATTCACCCATACAGTGTATAAATCATCATATAAGCTTTATTTATATTTACATTTTTTTAAGCTCATGGTAAAGAATTAAGAGGGACGAGGTGGCTCAAGAGGGACACGGTGGCTCAGTTTGTCGATCGAAAGGTCGGCAGTTCTGCAGTTCGAATCCCTAGTGCCGTGTAACGGGGTGAGCTCCCGTTACTTGTCCCAGCTTCGGCCAACCTAGCAGTTCGAAAGCACTTAAAAAATGCAAGTAGAAAAATAGGGACCACCTTTGGTGGAAAGGTAACATTGTTCCGTGCACCTTTGGCATTTAGTCATGCTGGCCACATGACCACAAAGACGTCTTCAGACAGTGCTGGCTCTTCAGCTTTGAAACAGAGCCCCCTAGAGTCAGGAATGACTAGCACATATGTGCAAGGGGAGCCTTTATCTTTACCTAAAGAATTAAGAAGATTGATAACAGAAAATTAATATACTGAAAATAAAAAATGTGTTAAAAACAAGAAAGAACTTTCAATTCCCTTTCTTTCAATTTTCAAGCTTGGCAACTTTATGAACTCCCAGAATTCCCCAGCTGGCTGCTGGTTGGATTATTCTGGGAGTTGAAGTTCATACCTTAAAGTTGCCAAGCTTGAGCTAATCTATTGTAAAGTAATTAAATTTGTATTCTGAACTTTGCTTAGATTCAGAGCTACCTAGTTTTAATATACCGTATTTTCTGGCGTATAAGACGGCTGGGCGTATTTTATTATTTATTTATTTATTATTTCTATTTCTATACCGCC